ACGCTAGGAATGTCTATCAGTGGTAGACATGGCAGACCAAATTACGTTGCTCTAATTGAGTGATAATATTGTCCAAAATCTCAAAAAAGATCCTTCTAATTGTAGTTTTAGCTTTCTCCAAAAAACTTTGATCTCCGTTATTAGATGAATTACCAGGAAAAATATCAAGTTCACTACTTTCGACTTAAGATGGGTTTAGAATTGGTTTCGCTAACAGCAATGTTGAAATGGTTAGAAAATGTAAGGTCATTTCTCCAGCTTTTTAACATTGTAATACTTCTGGACACTGAATTGGCACACAATTGAACATCATTATTTTTCTTCTGCAAGATGCTGTATAAGAGCTCAGTTTGTTGAAATATATCACTAAAAACATTTAATAAAAATACAAATTCCAAATCCTCCAACTTATGTTTAAAACCATTTGCCTGCCTAACAGATTTTGCATTTGATTCTGGGCAATTCATTATGTCTTGACAGACTTGTAACAATTTTTTCTTTTTTTAAACGATGGTATACAGCCAATTACGGGTTTTTTCCATTAATTTTGAATTTTTTCTTTCTTGTGACACAGCATAATATACTACTTTTGCATTTGAATTCCATCTTACTTCACTATTTGTGGTAATTCGTTTTCCAAGTATTTTATTTAAAAAATAGGACCGTTTGGACGATTGGTGAAAATAAGCTGGAATACCTTGAAGCGTTGAGAATAATATTTTGACTGTTGTAATGTTGGAGCAACTTTGCTGTAAAAATTGAGGCGGTGAGCGGAACAATGGGTAAATACTACTAATGGTGCAGAATCTCTCACTAATTTTTTATAGTCCATTAAGTTGTCCCGACATAACACTAGCTCCATCGTAGGTTTGAGCAATTAATTTAGCTTTACAGTAAAATTTACCAAATACACTAAACAGAAGTCACGTAACGTTGGAGCACTTCGGTCTTCCCCTAGATCAAAAAAACCTAAGAAATATTCTTGAACGACGCCTTTTGTATCCACTAATTTGCATACTATTGAACAATGTGCCCTTTCAGTAATATCGGTTGTTTCATCAAGAATGCATGCAAAAAATGTGGAGTTATGTATGGCGTTCTTATACAACACATTTGTGTTGTTTTTTTTTTAATTTGTTGCAATCCTAGATTATGTTACATATTTTTTTATCATAATTTAAAAGAAAATTTATATTACAATTCGATAATTACGTTACAAGTGACAACGATGGTCGGCGTAGGCCCGATCGTCTGGTGCCTAAACAGCAATCATAAACACGACAATAAAAATCGTTGTCCGGCAAGCTGCTTTACTTCAAACGCTTTTTGTACGGGGATCTTATGTGAGCTGGGTCGGCCAGTTCCGATCGGGCCTATTAATGATATTTAAAATGCCTGAATACGATTCGATCCTTTCTGTGGTAATATAATAACAGTTTTTTTTTAAGGACGTTAATGTATTGTGTGATTTAGTACATTTAAAAGTTATTTACATGCATTAACATAATTTTTGAATATATGTTTTTCAATTTTAAAGCTCTTAAAATTATTGGGTAGGCCCGGCCTATCTTGCCTACCCACAAAAGCCGCCACTGATGTCTACTAGTAAATATATTGTCAAAATGAAATCGAATTTTCTGATTTTTTAGAACATATTAATTTTTAGATGCAATAACGAACTAGTATGACATAAAAGTTTGTATGCACCGCGGGTATTAATAGATGTAAATGCCCTCGGGCGACTTACAAACCCTCGGGCCAGAGGCCCTCGGGTTTGTAGCATCGTCACCCTCTTGGCATAAACATATATTTGATACTGTTGGTACATAAATAACTATTATCCTTAGGTTAAATTTTGTTTTTATATAAAATTAAGTAATTATCAAATTTTCTTTGTTTAAAATTAAGACCTCATTAATTTTGATTGTATTTTACATAATATATGTCCTAAAAGTTTTAACACAAAATGTTTATCGGATTTTTTTTACAAAAAAAAAAATATTTAAACACAATAGTTATCGTGAAATACTTAATCGCATCCGTCTGGTATTCTGAGAAGTATTTATAAGTAGAAATAAAGATCTTGCAATTGTTTACTCATGATTTTTACTGGGAAGTTATGTCAGTGTGTCATAATATTTTGAATATAGACATACATTGTATTCCCTTAAAATGTTGAGTTTAACTTAGTTTTTAATGTGTCATCTTATTCATTTTCTCTAGATCATAGATCATTAGAATACAAAAATATGATATAAAACTTAGAGTACATGTACATGTTTTCAAAACAAGATTAATCATATTGTGATTCACATTTTGTAATCATTCTACAAATAGTTTTATTTACCATATGAAAATGATACATATGTTGTACCAATAATTCAAAATATAATAAATAATAAATTTATAATTAATCAAAAGGGCACATGTATGTATCATAGTTTCGAAGATTATCTACGAAAAAGCATTCGATCGCATTTAATTCAAATCTACTCTAAACAATGTTGATTACCATAAGTATCCCAAAATATCTGGTCAAACATCTATTCCTCACGGTATTAAAACAGCAAAAATACAAGACAGTGTTGGGCGTTGTTCTCAAGGCGATTTAACCTATACGAGTATAGAGAATATATCGAAGAAGAAATAATGGCAAGGGCAGCAAGGATGACAGCTGGGAATAGGTGTTCCTTCACACTAAATAATATATTTATAATTCGGCTTCTAAATTAAAAATCAAACAAAGCAGTAGTAACATCAGTAGTACTCTATTCGGCAGAAACTTTGACTCTTACAATAAAGATGTAGATCAACTACATAGATGAGAGAGAATGAGTTTAAAAAAGGTTCAGAGCCGTTCATGAGCAAAAACTGTAACGTATAAAAAGTAACAACGAAGTGACCTTGTATTGAGAACTTGAGCAGGTCCAGATCTCAGTGGAGACCAAAGCATCCAGGCTAGGATATATAGGTCACATGGAAAGAATCCTGTAGTACGATAGGACAGTCGACGAAATTATTGATTTCGAAGTCAATATCCATTCGCTATCTTACTTTTATGGAATTATTTTTTATGTGGTGGCTCTAAAGGGGTGCTTATCATCAAATATTACCAGAAATAGTAAAGTAAGGAGGAGCATTACTAATCAAAAACATACAAATAGTATCAAACAAATTTCTAGAAGAGTCGAAAATGCCACAAAATTGGAATAACGTAATTAGAATGTTACTGTTCAGTATAGATGACAGAAAAGCTTTTTAAAACTATAGACTAATTATTAGTCTACTGTATAGATATACAAAATATTAACAAAAATTATTATAAATACACTGGTCAACAAATTTGGGTCCTACCAAACTTCGGAGCAAGCAGATTTTCTGTGAAATAGATCATGTACAGTCATTACGAATCAGAGAAAACGCAAGAATACAAACGGAATGTATGTCTGGCATTTGTGGACTACACCAAAGTATTCGATTGCTGGAAACCTGAACAGTAATTAAATCTCTGGAAATCTTCAATAATTTTCACTTTGTCTACAATTTTTCCCACTCTTCTCTGGAAAATATATCAAAGAACTCATCCGATTATTTTTGAATAGAATTAAATGTGAAATCTAAATTTCGTGTTCCAACATAATTTTTTATTTCTGCCCAAGCAAGCTCTATCATGTTTAAATCTGGACGATGTGATGGGAGCATAATGTGTAATGTCCGTTATTTCTAATAATGGAATCAATAGCAAATTTTAAGTATTTGGAGTTATATAATGTTATAATGGCATACAGATCTGGTGTGATTATGTTAACAGGAGAATGAATATTTCTAGCTTTCAGCCTGGATTGGACTGAAAAAGACCTGGGCATCCCTTAATGGTCAAATAATACCTGGGCCAAAGTAACTGGGAAAAACTCGGTTATAAAGACTTAGAACAGAAGTGGGAATATTTTGAGGAGGCACATGTCCACATATGAACGGAACATGCTGATTAATGGGAGGGTGAAAGGGACCGAGGCATTTCAATAGGTGGGGTTGGGATGTTTAACTTACGCCTCGTCTAAAAAAAAGTCTAAAATATCCCAAATTGATGAAGGATTTACGTTGATACTTAAAAATTAATGAGAGTGAGTGAGGAACATGGATTACTAATTAATATAATCAAGACAAAAGTAATGATTATCGACAGAACTTGAAACAGTGCAATAGAGATCACAATATTGCTTAGGATTAAGTGATCGATAATTTTATAAATCTGGGTAATGTCAAAATAAGAAAGTAAACTGCGATCATGAAATCAGATGGCGTATCCAGGTGGACAAAACAGCTATGTCCAAACTCATCAAAATATGGAAAAACACAAATGGTAGTAGCATTCTTTGGTTATATCACCCGTACCGATAATATAAAGAGGCTAATAGTGCAGAGAAAACTGGTGAGATAGGAAAGTAGAGGGCTATCCGCCAACCTCATACATAGACTCACACTGTGGAACAAGAAAATATTAATAATCACTATACATCTGCTAAAGCGTAGAAAATATATGATGAAAACAAGTTTTAGTTTGTTCGTCTTCGTGATGAAGTAGCAAAGAAAAGACCTGACAGAATACTGAACTTAACTAAGATCTAACGTCTAAAAGTTTATGGCAGGACAATGTAGAACGTGTATTTTTGCAAATTTTTTACCGTTTGGCCCCAAGTTAAACCAACTTTGTACATAAGTTCTAAAAGAATTCTATGCCCAGCTTCAATATAGTACGCCCTTACTATCTGATATTATTTATAACTTTGATGATCTGTAACATATTGACTCAGATTCCGTAGGGTTTTCCCTTGAACCATATGCCGACTTTTTAGGGCAATGGATAATGGATATAATTAAAATACACTTACATACAATTTAATAACGTGACCATTCTTGCCATTTATTAAGTTTTAACGAACTCATTTTATACGCGCTAGTAAATAACGAAATGTTAATTACACCTTTTTTCGTTACAGGTCTAAAACAGCCATTGAGAATGGCATGATCAGAAGAAAAAGTCAGAATCAAATCGCCGATTTACGCCCCCTGAAGAAAAGTAGTTCGTGTTCAACGATATATTTGGACGATAGTACAGTATCCCAACCGAACCTGAAGAATACTGTGAAATGTGTGGCTTTGGCGATCTACTATCACATAAAAAATAGGGATTCTCAAAGAGAAATCGACATTTTTGACGAAAAGTTGCATCCCTTAACAAGAGATGGTGTTAGTGATGATTATGATAAGTATAATCCCGAACACAAACAGATTTATAAGTTTGTGAGAACTTTATTTAATGCTGCTCAGTTGACTGCTGAATGTGCCATTATTACTTTAGTGTATCTAGAAAGACTGTTAACTTATGCTGAATTAGATATTCAACCTTCAAATTGGAAACGAATAGTTTTAGGTAAGTCTTTTTTTAATTATTATAATTTTGTAGTCTTATAATATTAAATGGTATAGTAGTTTATTCTGGTAAGTCTTTTTTTCTTCTTCTTCTTCTACTTTTTGTAGATCTTTCGATCTGTTTAATTCTGAAGCTGCCTCTGGTTAATTTCTTGGGAGGTAGATTGCCAACTATCCCTCCATCTTTTAGGTGGTCTTCCGGGGGGTCTTGAACCAGGCGGATTGTTTTCTAGGGCAATTTTTGGGAGTCTATTCTCATCCATTCGTCTTACATGGTTGTACCACATCCTCTTGAGCTGTCTTCCCCATCTTACAATATCTTGAATTTTGCACTGCTCTCTAATGTTTGTATTTCTCACTCTGTCCCTTCTTGTTTTCCCCATTATTGTTCTTAGGGTTTTCATTTCGGCAACCTTAGCATCTGTTTCGTTTTGTTGGTATCTTCGCGCACTTCTATGCCATATGTCATGATCGGTCGTATGCAAGTCTTATAGATTCTAATTTTACTATCTGTGCGCATATACGGATTAGACCAGACTATCTCCCGCAGACATCCTGACAGTGCAGATGCTTTGTTGATCTGACTCCTCAGGTCCTTTACTGGGTCATGGGTGCTTGATATATCTATGCCCAGATATCTGAATTGCATCACCTGTTCTATGGGGTTGTCCTCAACCACTAACTTACATCTGAGCGGATCTTTTGCTATTGTCATACATTTAGTTTTGTTGGTAGAGATGTTCATATTTAATAGAGTCTTGTTTGAAAGAACTGAAAGAGCTGCCTTTGGAGATCATCTTCTGATTCGGCAATAATTGCTGCATCGTCTGCGTAGCACACCATACCAATTCTTTTGTTGCCCATTCTATATCCGAGATTAAGAGATGTTACTTTGTTGATAATTTTGCCCATGAGAAGATTAAACAAGAAGGGGCTTAAACTGTCGCCTTGTCTAATTCCTCCCGGTGTTGGAATATTTTCAGTGAATTCGTCTCCTGCTCTAACTTTGGTTACGTTGTTGTTATTTAGGTTATGGAGTATCTTTGTTATACTGGTCGGTGTTTTATTTTCTATTAATATATTTAGAATGTCTCCCAGGCGAACTCTGTCAAATGCCTTCGTCAAATCAATGAAGCAAATATACGCTGGCATGCTGAACTCTATAGCTTTTTCTTTTATTTGTTTTATTACAAATACTGCGTCTGTTATAGACCGCCCTTTTGTAAAACCTTGTTGTTCTTCAGCATTAGTGATTTGCTTTTCCAATTTGTCCTTGAGAATACCCGTGAAAAGTTTCATTGTTGTATTCAAGAGGGTTATTCCTCTATAGTTTTGTGGGCAGGTTTTTTGTCCTTTTTTAAATATGGGGATTGTGATACTATTATGCCATTCCTCTGGTGTTTCTGTTTTGTTTAATATTTTGTTAAATAGTTGTGCCAGTTTACTTGCAAGTTCCGGGCCTCCATATTTTAAAAGTTCATTGGGTATACCATCCGTTCCCGGTGATTTTCTGTTTTTTAGCTTTTTGATCTTTGCTTCTACTTCTTCGTCATTGATTGTAGCACTCACATCTGTTTCGCCTTCGTTTATATTCAGCGTTTCTTCAGCATCATATAGCTCTTTAAAATGTTGTTGCCATGTTTCTATAGGTACTCCTTTGGTCTGCACGAACTCGTTAACTGGTTTTTTCCTGTTGCGGAGCATTTTCCATACTTTCTTTTGGGCACCATATAGGTCGTAGTCCATGTCGCAAGTGAATTTGGCCCAATGTTCTCTTTTGATTGATTTTATTCTGGCGTTTACTTCGTTTCTTATTTGGACATATTCTGCATGAGCTTCTTCCGATTGCGTGCTTTTATATCTCAGGTAGCATTTGCGTTTTAATTCAGAGAGTTCTTTTACCTCTTGGCAAAACCACGGTTTGGTGTGGTTTGTCGCTCTCGTGTTAATTTTCCGCTTGCCAATCGCTTCTTCTGCTGCTTCGTTGATGCATTTCTTAATTTTTTGCCAAGTATCTTCTACTCCCCATTCGGGTTTTAAGTCGATCTCTTTTAGTTTGTTGGTAATCCTGTTCTCATAGGCGAACTTGCAGCAGTTTTGAACTCTCTGTTGCTAGCGACTCTATATTATGTTTTTCGATGAACATTGGGGGTTTTCTGTTTCGTTGCGGACGTTCTAGTAGCATCTTGCATAAAACAAGGTTATGATCAGTCTCCAGGTTAGCAGATGTTAGTGCTCTGACATCAAGTACTTGTGACGGAGTTATCGCTCGATTTGTGATTATAAAATCTATCATTGATCGCTGGCCTCGATTATTGTTAAAAGTGTATTTATGTTGGTCTTTATGAGGAAAGTATGTATTGTTGATTCTCATTTCATTTCTAGCGCAAAAGTCTATTAGTGCTTCGCCGTTTTCATTAATTATTTCTTCGTTGTACTTTTGTTTTATACCTGGTATGACAACGTTTCCGATCCGTGCATTAAGATCCCCGAGTACGATAATTTTGTCTTTCGTATTTATGTTATCTACGACGTTTTGTAGTTGCTGATAGAAATTTTCAGTTTCTGCTGTGGGCTTAGATATGTCTGGGGCATACGTGCTTATCAGGTGTGTTGTGATGTTACGCATTTTTATAGAGATTTTTAATAATCTATCGTTGATGTATTCGATATCTTCGATGTTTTGCGTGTATTTATCGTGCAGCAAAATTCCAACTCCTGAATGCGCTCTTTCTTGTTTAGCTTTCCCGCTGTATATGAGTATAAATTCTCCGTATTTTGATGTTCCTTGGCTTTTTTTTTGTTTCGGAGATTCCGCAGATGTCAATATTGTGTTTCTTCATTTCTATTATGATCTCCTGGTCTCTTCCGTTCCACGACGTAATGTTCCAGCACGCGATTCGTGTGATGGGGTCTTTAGGTTTTCGTTTACCAATTCGTTTTTCCATTGTCATAGCGTGTGTCGTCATCTGATATTTCCGTCCGGTATCCGAGGCTGAATCTTCAGTTCTGTGAGCCAATATGGGTTTCTTTACCCCAGGTAGGTGGCTAGCCTTGCCATGGGGACCCTCCTCCTTTATCCGGGCTTGAGACCGGCAGTATCATCCGATGAGCTACTCAATTCACCCATCAGACAACCCAGTCTGATTTAATCTTTTAAGTCTTTTTTTAATTATTATAATTTTGTAGTCTTATAATATTAAATGGTATAGTAGTTTATTCTGGAATATCTGGCTCCAAAAATGAATTACGATATCGATAATTCGTGCGTCAGAGATTCATGAGACATAAAAACATTTTTATAATTTTAATTCCAAAATAATTTTTAATTCCGAATTGTCGATGTTTTTTTGTTTATAATTGATAAAGAAACAATTAGGTAGATAAAGTTTAGTTAATTATGTTTTATTGTACCAGCAATTACTTAATAATATAGTATAGGGAAAAACTAAACTTACTTTTTTCATTGATAATATCAAAAATTTCCGCTAAGTTGTCCGCAAACACTATGGTGTCATCTGCATATTTGATGTTGTTTAGCCGGTAACCATTTAGTAGAATACCTTTTTCAGTTTCGTGCAAAGCTTCGATAAATATTCTTTCAGAGTACAGATTGAAGATTAGAGGAGACGAAATACTGCCTTGCCTCACTCCACGCGTGATTTTCACATAGTCAGCGTGTTCACCTTCAACTCTGAGATTTGCTGTCTGATTCCAGTAAAGATTTCTAACTATTTTCAGATTTTGGTTGTTAATTCCTGCTTCTTTTAGTATTTGCATCATCTTGGCGTGCTGTGCTCGATCAAACGCTTTCTCGTAATCAACCAGACATGCGTATACGTCGCAGTTGACATTTCTGCATCTCTGGAATAAGACTTGTACTGAGAACAAAGCCTCTCTAGTACCAACAGCATTTGTGAACCCAAACTGGTTGGGGGAAATTTGACTTTCACAGAGCTTGTAGATTCTCTTATGAATTATCTTTAGGAACAATTTTATGAGATGACTCATGAGGCTTATAGTACGGTAATCTTCGCATTTTTGGCTCCTGGTTTTTTTGGAAGTGCAATAAACTCAGATTTCAACCATTCCGTTGGTATTTCTCCAGAGTTGTATATGTTGTTGAATATCTTTGCGAGTATTGCTATTGATTCGTTGTCCATTAGTTTGAGTGGTTCTCCTTATATATTATCAGGGCCTGCCGCTTTGCAATCCTTTAACTGTGTTATTGCGGAATAAACTTCCTGCTGTAATATTCTTGGTCCATCATTTACCTCTTCTTCTAGCTCAAAGGTTTTATCTCTTTGGTCTTCAAATAGTTTATCTAGATATTCTTTCCACATTTTTATTTTACTCTGTTTGTTCAAAATGATTTTTCCGTAAGAATCAGTTATATTTCATTTCTGCTTTAGTCTTAGTCCTCCTGTGAGTTCTTTTTCCTATGTACATTGTGACTATCGTACTTTGACTGCAGTGTCTCAATTTCTTCGCATCTTTCCCTTGCTTCTTTTTCTTTCTCTTCTCTGATTTTTGTTCTTATTAATATATTTATGGTTTTATATTTGTGTGGGTCATTTCTCGTCCATTAGTTTCAGGATCTCATCTGTCATCATTTTTCTTCATTATCCTATCTGTCTTTAAGTATTTATCCTTTACCTTTTGCACTATTTCTGTAATTTGTTTGATCGCTTGTTCTTCGTTCGATTAGTCTCCAATTGCAGTCACTTGCTCGTTTAATGTGGCCTGGACTCTCATCGTCGTATCAAGGTCTTTCAGTATGCGTAGGTCGTATGATTGTCCTTTTCTTTTCTGTACTGTTTTGAGTTTGACTCGAAATACTCCGACCAATGGAACGTGGTCTGTTTCCAAGTCTGCTTCAGGATAAGTCTTAACGGATGTAAAGCTGTTTAGGAATCTTTTATTTACTAAAATGTAGTCTATTTGATTCCTAATAATTCTCCCGGGTCTGTCTTGAGGGGATTTCCACGTGTACAGCTTGCG